GCGTTGAATTTTCGTCGATGTTAAGCCTAACGAAGACTATTGTATCGTTAAAAATTATTTTTTTATTTTGTACAAACAAAATAAATATATTGAAAAATATAAAAACAATAAAAAATTATACTTCAAATGTTAATTTAGTATCAAAAACGTAAAATATTTGAGTAGCCCAAGACATAGCCAAAGATTGAAGCACCACATTGGCAAAAATTTAAATTTGCCGACTGGAATTCTTTCAGATGATTGACGTTTCGGATGATTGACTTTCGGAAAATCGACGCTCTACTGTATATACATTTATGATTATATAGGCAAATTATGTATATAAATGTACAAAATTATCATTATTGCTTAATTTTGGTCTTGTATTAACATTCTTATTTGATTTTTATTTCTATAAAAACTATGGTTAGAAGCACTATTTCTTTTCTATTGTATAGTTCACTTGGTTATAATTATTTTAATTATATATTGCAATAACTGGAAATATCTTACACTATAAACACAAGATTTTTATGGTGAAAAATTACTTTGAATCAACTGTTACAAGAAAAAAAGCCATTAATTTTAATCTGTATATTTGCAATTTTTTGATAAAAGTCCACAGAATCTATATGAAACAAAAAAAAATAATTTGAAGAAAGAGTTTGAGATATTTGAACTTGATTAGAAGCAAATTCAATGAAATCATTAGATGTTTGATTATGAATCCTGAGAACATCTCAAAAGACTGGACTATTTTATGGTTCTGTTCAGAGCTATGAAAAGAATCAAACTTCAGTTTTATAAAGTAATGTTTGTCCATGAGGTTATAGAATTTGAAACTCCAAATAAATAATATCATGAACAGTTTTTACTATAGATTTGAGAGATAAGTGTGTTTCACAATGCCCAACATGGCAGTAACAAGTGTAGCTGGTTCACAAGTCCTACTTTCATTTGATCATTCTGATATTGTAAAAAATAAACCAGTAAAATTTATTTTTAATAAATGAAGTAGTTTGACAGTAGTTTCAGTAAATGAATTATATTGACTTAATGTAAATAATATATTTAAACATACTGCTTTATATATACAAATTCACAAAATTGCATAAACAAAAATTACAAACCTTCTAATTTAAGAGCTGGTAAACTATGGGAACTTGCACTGAGACTAAGATTAGTATGAGAACCTGATGACGATGATATTGAGTGAGCACTTCTGGATAATTCTGATGCTATATCTCCAAGATTACGAGCAACAGGAGGTAACGTCTGCATAGAAATCGTAAGTTTTAATAAATTAATTAATATAATGTTACATGCAGTATTATTAGCTTTGATTAATAATACAAATTTTAGCATATTTTAATATTTAAAATGTTTAGAAATTACAAAAAGCATATACCTTTCAATTTCATAATTTATATATTAGTTAATTTAAATACAGTAGAATCCACTTATTGTTATTGTTGTTTAATATATGCTAATTTTGATAATAAGTCAATAAATACTATAAAAATTTTGCTTTCTGTAATCAGAATTCAATTATAGTTAGCTTAAAAATGCCTATTTATCTGAAGATAAAATTTTTAATTTTCTCTGCCTCAATGTGATTGTTAACTAGTTTTAATTATTATTTTCTTGCACTTTAAAGAAAGAAATATTCTGTATTATCATTACCATAAATTCTGAATCTCAATAAAGAAATGCATAATTTTCTAATCAGAACAGTATTTTTTATGTAGCATTCGCTGGTAAATATAATATAAAGGATGTATGCATTTCTAAAAATAAAGTTTAATAAGTAAAAGAAAGTACAGAATTGACAGAGACCAATGTGCAGACTTTTTCCTATTAAATAGATTATACAAGGAGTAACATGAGTCTTGTAGACTTATTCTCTATGTCATTGAAAAGTCTGTTGGTGTAAAATTTATGATTTCATTGGTTGAAATACTTATCTATTATCATCAAGTATTATCTAAAAGCTTTTTAGTGTCATTGCTGTAATTGAACAGATAATCAACTCTCTCATTTATTAAGATAATTCTTGAGCAGAAAAAAGTGAAAAATTACTTGTATCAGTTTATAAAAATTATAAAATGCTGTGACACTGAACAGCAGATGAGAAGCGTGATTGCACCACTGAAATAAAAAAGAAATTAGTATATTTTTATATATAAAGGAAATTAATTTGCTTAGGTAACATCCTGTTTATATTGCTTGATATGTAAGGGTGAGAACCCGAAGTTTAACAAAAATAAATTTTTTTTCATCATACCTATTTTGACAACCCATACATGGCTTTATTTTATATAAGTTTTAATTTTAGTATAGAGACTTTTTGGAAAGAAAGATGAATGATGTAAGAATTACAATTTATGTTTATAGTTTAAAATTAAGAACTACAATTATATACTTTGTGTTTTTTAATCAAGATAAAAAAGTTTTTTTTCCTAATAATAATGTATTTAAGAATTTTTAAGTTTTAGTTAAATTTTTTCACTTTCAAAATTTATTAATACTGCACAGGTATATACACTACTTTAAACCCATAAGATTATAATGGAGCTGAAAGATTCATGTTCAGAGATATACAGTAAAACCTGTCCAAAACAGTACCTGAATAAAATGGAAATCTGCCTAAATGGGAAAAATTCTTTGAAACGGAGCTATATTTTTATGTTAAAAAATCCTGTTCAAAACGGAAACCTGCCAAACTCGAAAAAATATTTGATATAGTGCAATTCCAGTTTATGCAGGTTTTACCATATAAGATATATGTATGTAGTGTAGGTTTGTTCTAAGTACTGTACACTATGGTGTTTGCTTAAAAACATTTCCATATGACGATGGAAATACGTTTTTAAGCACATGTCCATGTGCCATAATGATTTGACAAAAATTTTTAATTAAAACATAATTTTAAACTTATTATTGTTAACAATTTCACAGTAGAAATAGCTTTCATATGTCAATCAAATAACAGGAAATATGGATTTCATTTATGTTAAAATTCAATTTACTTACTGAATTATTTGGCATTTAAGATAGGCAATGCCAGTGCCCCGTGCAAGAATTTGCATTTAGGCCCATTAATTAGGTTTGGGAAATTAATTAATAAAACAAATACACACATTTTGGGCTCCCCTTCCAAGTGGGTTTTGTGTGGGTGCACCTGTTGCAGCTGCCTAGTTATGGCATTAGGCAATGCTGTCATTTTGTAATAAATTTAAGGATTAGAATTAAATTATTTCATTTACAAAATAATTTTAAAATATCTAAAAGAAAAAATCAGATATTTAAAGCAGAATTTGATCCCTACAAATGGGGCAAATTCATTATCAAAAACATTAACTCAATCTTCATTATGATCTTTGCTTTGACAAACATAATTCTAAATTACATATAACTATACAGTTGTACTATGATTCTAAATTACCTATGTATCTGGAGATAAAAATTGAAACAAAGGTCTACATAATATAATTGTTAACACTGCTTAGCTTGTAGAAGCTGTAGGATAGTTCCATTCCTTAACATCCAAATGTTTCTACACTACAGTGGTACCTCAGGTTACGAACGCCCCAGCATACGAAATTTTCAGGATACGACATGAAATTCGAACATATTTTTGTTCCACGATACGAACANTGACAAAGTTTCATACAAACTTTCATCCCCTATTTTATCCCCTTGGGGGTAGAATTGATCAAAATCCTTTCTTAGCGGATGCCTACGTCATAACATCTACCTGCATGCCAAATTTCAGCCCGATCCGTCCAGTGGTTTGGGCTGTGCATTGATAGATCACTATGTCAGTCACCTTTGAGTTATATATATATAGATTAACAGATACCTTGCCTATTCTCCATATGAAGACTCCTCCAACATGGATATCACCTATCGAGATAACTAGACGAGGATAGCCCTTTCCACTAACGGATATTGCCAAATCTCCATCACAAGATATCACCTATTTCCGAACTGTTTCTATCATCAAACTGTCTGTCCAACAACCCCTCTAGCGAAGACAAACTCTCATAGTTGGAACATGACAACCAGACAATTCATCAGGTATTTATCTCAATGCACGATCCAATGTTAAACCCTCTCTCTCGTGACCACTGCATTAAATAGGTCAGTTAATCTGATATTACAATATATGTATCCTGTAACCTTTTTTTTTGTGATTATTAAACTGTTATTTGTTGTTAACCCTAGAGTCTGAGTACACTACTTCTGTCGCACTGTCTTTACACACTCCATCCAGAATCCGATCGCTCATGTGGCCTACTTTTAAACCTAAAACAAGACACGATGGTGTCAGTCCTGACAAGGCATAGAAGAGGTGCTGACCCTCAAGTCACATAAGATGAACTTCACAATTTCTGATGTAACTGAAACATGTAACAACTACATTCATTGGCTATATAGGATTCTCATGTTAAAAATGCTTGGATGCTATGCACTCCATCTTCTGCTCTCTTAATGCCTCTGGTAGGTTGCTTCTTACACTCAGGTGATCAATGTAACTAACCTAACTTATCTATAATAGCAAGGATTGCCAACTGTCCAGTGCTATTGGTCTTGTCCAATTGAGAGGTCAAACCAAATACCAGACAATTTACTAATTATTGATAATTAATTGATTATATTAAATTAACTATTTTTGTCTAAGATTCTTAAATGTAATATTTATTCAAGATAATATGAACCATAAATCCTTTCTTGGCAGATCTATACTGTATGGATGGCACAATGACTTTAATTTCTGGCAGTTGTTGTGTTATATATATATATATATATATACCATGCTGAGGTATGCAGGCTGAGTACAAGATGAAATAAGTGGCAATGCAATAATCTATTTTTTAAAAACAAAAAAATTCTTTCAAAAATAGGCAGATGGAATTGAAGATTAAATTGATCAAATTTAAATTGGCTATGAATGAGATTGAAGCTTATTCCTTATAAAATATATATTTCTAAAAAGCTATTAGTCTCATAATAGAACATTTTCAATTTGAATAAAAATTTCAGCAATACAAATACAGATACAAAAACCATGTAGTTTCAAATGGAACTAAATGTGTCGCTACGATTTTCACAAGATACCATTTTTAATGTTAATTCAATAATATTAAATTTAAAAAGTAATAATATGTTTTTCGATGGAGTGATTATTTACCAATCACTCTAATTATTAGAGAATTAATCACTTGATTATCAACAATTAGCAATCATTAAACGCTACTTCTCTAAAGCATATAAATGGAAATAGATCAGCAATGACATGAAGAAGAATTTTCATAAAAATAGGTAAAGATTCGAATTAATTTCTTTTCCTCTCCTAACAAACAATACAGTTCATTAAATAGAAAATTTTTTGTAATGTCAAATAATTTGTTGTGTGAGAAATAAAAATATATAGAAGCATAGACTTAAAAACATTCAAGAAGAATGCATGTTGTATATTATTTAATATATATGAAAATAAAAACAATTCTTTAAGAATTTATTTAATACTACTACTATAATTAAAGTTTAAAAATTATTAATTTTAAAAAAACAAACTAACTTTTCCGTGTTTTCTATCTAAATAAAACTGATGTTGAGATACAGCCATGCTCCATATTGACTTTGTTAGTATTGGAGAAATTGTAAACCACACATATACAGTTACATTTCCAGGTCCAAATGTTCTTCTGTTTGCAGGAAGTCTGAAAGTAAAGATTACTTATTTATTCTGATATATATGATGAATGCTTCATAAATTTATTATCTAAAAATTATCTATTTTAATTCAATTAATTTACATATTTGTCATCTTTTTCTACCTACAGATTCTGACTGAGATATGTTTTACATTAAATTGTGAGATTATTAATTTTAAAATGACAAAATTAAAATAAACTGCAAAGTTAACACATTTCGATTGTTAATCAGTTACAAATAATTCTAAATGTAGATTCTCTAATTAGTACACAAATCCAGAATATTTATAACTTATTGTCATTGCTATTTTAAAAGAACTGTCATTCAGTTAATTCTTTGTATGGAATATAAAATTCTAGTTGTTACTTCTTTTTGTATTTCATAAAATAATTTAAAAAATGAAATTCCATGTTTTTTACATGGTTAGATATGCAACTATTTTAGTCTTTGTAATTTGATTAATTTATTAACATCTAAATACGTACAGATTTTAAGTAAGACAGTGTATTATAACACCAAATAAAAATAAAATTATTATTAAATTTCATGTGAAATATAAATTATAATATCAATTATGTTAAAAAATCAACTAATGAGTTATTTGAAAACTAAAAATAATCCTTATTGGGAATGCTTCAATTCTCTATAACTGAGATGTTTTTTGAAAGTTTTAACTCAAAATTGTTTTCAGACTGAAATGAATAAAAATATAAATACTTTATTAAAATGTCTTAACATAAATTTATTTTATTTTTATTGAACCAAATCCTGATCTCTACAAAGCTCTCCATCCAAAAGAGGAAAAGCACCTTAATTAAACTAAATTCTCAGAAGAAAACTTGTTTAACTCTCTTACTACATCAGGGAGTCAATTAACCTAAATTCTCCATAAGATTTACCTATAGAAGAAAATACAAACATTTCAACTGCAGACCTACGATCTATAACACAACTTCAACTGTCATATAACATCAGGCTATAATTTGGCAATAATAATATACTAAAATACAAGTATTATTAAGGAAATAATACTGGTAGTATAGATAATAATTAAGTCAACTATTTTAGACCATGAGTCTAAAATAATTGACTTAATTATTCCAGCATGCATACATACATACATACATACACACATACATACATACATACATACATACATACAAGAAAGACTTCAGTCATACAAGAGGTGTTTAGCTTGCAGAAAAGAGGGTAAGGGAAAGAGGAAGGGAAGAAGGAGGGAGAGGAGTTAGATAGTAGAGAAAGATAGGATCCCTCTGAACGGTGTACGTATGGCTACAGTACCGTCTATGTTTGATGTTGGCGTGCAGTTTTTATGCTGCAAGACCATAGTCCCTCAAAGGGTCTAAAAGAAAACCTGAGTGTAGCGAACACCAATGATTCAGTGCCGCCACAAATAGCTAAGTGTAAAAGTAAGTGCCAAGTGGCCGTTAGTAGGAAGACTACTTTTCAAGATTTCAGATACTTAGCTTAAATAACTTTGTTAAAGTAAGTATTATTAAAGAACAAAATGGAAATAAGGAGTAAAAATCACTTTCACATATTAAAAAAATACTATTGTGTAGTATAATTTATATTGATTACATTTTGACAGTAAATGCACTCACATCAAAATACTGTAAAATAGTAATATTTTACACAATTTTATTGATCAAAAAATAATCCTTATTTACATTAGATATATAATGAAATCCAAAAACTATAGAATAATTTATGAAATTTTTAATTTTTTATAAAGGTTATGATTTTCTCAAAGATCAAGTATTAAATATTTATTCTAGATACATAAAAAGAAAAGGAAATAATACTGGTGGTATAGAACATTTATCTACATATTATTAATGAAAACAATATAATACTATAGATAGCATTATATTGTTTTCATTAGTATGAAAGCATGTTTGCCATAAATCATATTTAAAACATTACAGCTTATCTGCATTACATTGGGAATCTAATGTACTGTACATACATTCATTTAACCATCAATTAAATCTTAATATAAATTACAAAATTAATTTATCAAACCTTTGAGCATCGTGAACTTCAATAGAAAATTTTCTGTCTCTGAAATATAAATTTTCCAACTGTTTCCACAAAAACATCTGAAATATTACATAAATATCGTATATTTTATCTTCAACATATTAATTTAATTTTACTGATTTTATTAGATTTATAGTTTGAAGCAAAACATAAATTCGTATATGTAGAAAATAATCATAATCTATTTAATACTAAAACATAAACGACATATTATAGCTCATTCATTTTATTTATGTCAATAATTATGCAAAAACATTTTACCTTTCTTGGTATTTTTCTATCTGAATGATCATATTGACTAATTCCTTTGAAACTTATTCCTAACCACCAGGGCATACCAGTTTTATCCTAAAATATTGATATATTTATTTTAATTATTTACACTTTCTTCATATTCAATATTAAAGCAACTATTATAATTCTATTAAACACTAAAACCACAAAAAAAAAATCCCTTAAAATTAATTTACCATTAAAATTTTGTTACACTTCATTGCAGGAATCATATGAAATATTTAACTAAAAAACTTTTATGACTTCTTTACAAAACTTTTTAATGGTAAAATATTTCATTTACATGCATAAGGTTCAAAAATATTTAAATCATGGGTCTAGAAGTATATGTAGCTAACTCTAAATTCTGCAGTTTTTCAAAAATTGAGTATTCTTATTATATTTTATTTGGGACCATAAACAGCTAAGTAGAATTCAAAAGAATTACATAAAATAACAAGTTTTTGGTGGACAATCAAAAGTTAGTCCAATTTTCAAATCCTATTTTCTGAAAATAAAGGTTTCATAGTTAACTGTATATGGTTCTATACACAGTTAACTATGAATCGATATTGGATTGGTATTATAACATTCAAAATTATAGCAGTTCTAGAGTTAAAGAATGAAAAGACGTAAAGCGTTAACATTATATTTAAACTGATGTAGGTATAAAATACAAAAACATAACAAATAAAATATAAATTATAGTCTTTTCAACTTACCTTTACTTCAAAATAATGAACACCATATGTTGGTAAACTTTCAACAACTGTCATGTAACTGGAATTACATAATAATTTTATTTTTAGTAGAAATGTTATTTTATAAAAACTTTTTGTTTAATAGCAAATTCAATTAAATACAATATATCTAGATTTGATTATTTTACAAAAAAATTAGTTTTTGCTTACATTTAAAAAATAAAATGAAAATTTCCCCTAAGTTTAAATTTTTTTGTTCTGTATCTTTCTGTATTTTATGATCTTAGCTAGAAATTTTGTTAATAAATGAAGAAATGAACACATCACACATAGTTTTAGTATTTTAGATTAATGATATATACAACAATATACTAAAATTTCAAAATTAATGTATTTTAAAAATAAAATATTAAGTTATATTTTTATTTATATCAGTCATTTTATTTAATTAAAAAAACTTACTTTACTATTGCTATTCCTCTAGATTGTCCAGATATCTTACAATAATGCCCAATAATTTGTTCTTCACTACAAACAATAAATTAATGAAATAAATATTATTATTTTTATACTTTATATTAAGTTTTAGTAATTTTAAATTATTTTAAGATTAAAAATGCAAATTTATTGTAATTTTTCTTATATAAGTTTAATTTATACAAATATAAACATCTGTAAGCCCAATAGTTATATTAAAGCCAANATAAAATATAAATTATAGTCTTTTCAACTTACCTTTACTTCAAAATAATGAACACCATATGTTGGTAAACTTTCAACAACTGTCATGTAACTGGAATTACATAATAATTTTATTTTTAGTAGAAATGTTATTTTATAAAAACTTTTTGTTTAATAGCAAATTCAATTAAATACAATATATCTAGATTTGATTATTTTACAAAAAAATTAGTTTTTGCTTACATTTAAAAAATAAAATGAAAATTTCCCCTAAGTTTAAATTTTTTTGTTCTGTATCTTTCTGTATTTTATGATCTTAGCTAGAAATTTTGTTAATAAATGAAGAAATGAACACATCACACATAGTTTTAGTATTTTAGATTAATGATATATACAACAATATACTAAAATTTCAAAATTAATGTATTTTAAAAATAAAATATTAAGTTATATTTTTATTTATATCAGTCATTTTATTTAATTAAAAAAACTTACTTTACTATTGCTATTCCTCTAGATTGTCCAGATATCTTACAATAATGCCCAATAATTTGTTCTTCACTACAAACAATAAATTAATGAAATAAATATTATTATTTTTATACTTTATATTAAGTTTTAGTAATTTTAAATTATTTTAAGATTAAAAATGCAAATTTATTGTAATTTTTCTTATATAAGTTTAATTTATACAAATATAAACATCTGTAAGCCCAATAGTTATATTAAAGCCAAACCCGATGTAATCGAGCAATCGCTAGATTACATCGGGCTATATTCCTGCTACTATTAATAATTAAATGCTAAGTAATTTAGCCAGACGTAACTGAAAAATAAATGTGTTGACACAGTCTAATTTATAGTCATTTCTGTGCATTTATTACACTCAGTATATTGAAAACTTATTTATTTTATATTTATTTTAATTACAAATAGGAAATGTCAAAAGGTAAATGATGCTTCACTCCAAAATATAACTTTTCTTTGGTGTATGATCAAGTATTGTGTTATTTAACCAGATTATAATCAATGATTAAATAGCAACCAGTGATTAGTAATTTGTGAACACCTGTATATAGGCAGAAAGTAATTGTGTATGTATTTATGCTCTTATCACGTGGTTGTGCCACTTTAGCTAGCAAATAGAAATTTTCACTCAGTATCAAATAGAGGAAAAGCACCTTAATTAAACTAAATTCTCAGAAGAAAACTTGTTTAACTCTCTTACTACATCAGGGAGTCAATTAACCTAAATTCTCCATAAGATTTACCTATAGAAGAAAATACAAACATTTCAACTGCAGACCTACGATCTATAACACAACTTCAACTGTCATATAACATCAGGCTATAATTTGGCAATAATAATATACTAAAATACAAGTATTATTAAGGAAATAATACTGGTAGTATAGATAATAATTAAGTCAACTATTTAGACCATGAGTCTAAAATAATTGACTTAATTATTCCAGCATGCATACATACATACATACATACACACATACATACATACATACATACATACATACAAGAAAGACTTCAGTCATACAAGAGGTGTTTAGCTTGCAGAAAAGAGGGTAAGGGAAAGAGGAAGGGAAGAAGGAGGGAGAGGAGTTAGATAGTAGAGAAAGATAGGATCCCTCTGAACGGTGTACGTATGGCTACAGTACCGTCTATGTTTGATGTTGGCGTNTATTATTATATTAATAGCATCAAAATCATGTAATAGAAAATGAAGATGACATTAATTAATAAATTTATTATATTTAAAGATAAAAATACAACCATTACAGTAATTGTACTATAGTGGTTGTAACTTTTCTGGCCACAGATATATATTATAATAATGGTTGGTAATAATAATAATGGTAATAATGGAAAATTTAAGAACTCCATATATATGTGAAAAATACATTCTTAAAGTTATTATTATACTATATACATTATTATATATTATTATTAACTTACTATAATACATAACATAAGAAATTAATAGTTTCATTAAAAATCTAATCCATAATAAATGTAATAAAGTGAAACAATGGGTACATTGCTTAGTAAATCTGCTTTAATAAGTTAAGCTATTGTAGTTCATATTTACTCCAGAAATAATGCAAAACTGTAGCTGATGTTATAAAAATTATTTTATTAGAGGCAACCAATGACATATGTATTTCAAAATGTACAAAATTTTATAAATACATTGCTGTTTGCCTCACCATCTTAAATTTTATCATCAAAACTTCCAAACTTTAAGAAGTTAAACTATCTTTTAGTAAATCACTTTCAATGCACTTTAACTAGCTTTACTAGAAAATATACTGAATAAAAAACAAAATTTACAATAATTACTTTTTTGTCATTTAATTTGCAGTTTTAAATCTATTTATCATTTTATTGTTTTACATAAAAACAAAATAAAATTAAAATTAAAATGTTGATAAAAATTAAATTCAAAAATAAATCATACCAAACAGGAAGTGAAGGATGTTCTTTCAAGACATTAGTTGGAAGAACAGGCAGTTTCTTTAATTGTTCTTTTGTTGTCTTTTCACTATCAATAAATAAAAATGGTTATATAGTAAAAATTTTAATATCTCCACAATTATTTGCATATTGGCATGATAAAAAATTATTATTAGCATTATACCATTTAAATTTATTCATTATTGCACAAGTTAATTAAAGTTTATGTAACTTTGAAAAAGATCAGTTTGTTTTGATTTGCCCTCATATTTGTAATAACAGAGTATTCGCTATGGAATTCAATGCATTCTATTGATTTCTGCCAGTCCTTGAAAATTTTGAATTGGCCAAAATTGAATTGTTATGTTAGCAACATACAAATAAACATTATCATTTTTTCATACACATATAACAAAATGACATTTACTCTGTATACTCTAGTGGCCAAATAAAGTGTCATATTTCCCTGCAATTCTTTGAATAGATGCATCAATAATCATTCTTTGTAATAATATAGATCTAAATATTAATAATTATTAACTATAACAAATAATTTTTCCAATAAAATTAATCTTTTGGTTGATTGTGTCCTATTCAGTTAATATTGGCACTTAGTACTATCCAGACATGCTATTTTTATTTGCAATACTTGCTTAACCTAGACAAAAAAGCCCCTGTCGAATCTCGATAATCCAGCAGTTCTCTAGTTCAACACATCCAGTAATCCGACACTAGGCGACTTGGATATTACTGGCACTATTGCCAACTTCCAGACAAGCTTCCCACTAATTCAAAAACTCTAATTTTCACAAAATTTGAACACTTTTCCACTAAACATGACATGGCATCAAGTCAATATTCAAGATTGTTAAGCTCATTGTCTTAGACTGCCCGAAAAAAGTAGTCTTATGACATAATACTGTGAGATCAGCCAGGACGTAGGTCTTAGTCTACGCCACTTATGGGCACTAGTCGGTAAGACCAGTTCTCTAACTTTAATAGGAGAGCGTTATCAAAATTGATCTGAACGGCGAAGTTCAGATGCTCGTCAGGATTCCTTGACACCAGTTAATCAATCTTATTATACGCGGATTAACACGCGTTTGCGATCTGATTCGGAATAAATTTGGGGGGCCTTTTTATTAAATTAAACAAGAGTAAATTTAATAAATCTAAACAAAACGAATACAAATAATCGATGAACGACAATTAAGCGACAAGCTATAGGCTAAAACCTATTCTATGTTAATGCGCGATCGAGAGAGAGAGCTCACAAAATTATTCTAAACATACGACCTGTTTAGTTGTCGTCGTCTTCGTTTCTGTAGGTAAAGGACACCTTGTAGATAGAATTCATATTACTTTCATGCGGGAGATCAATTCGTGCACAAAATATAAAAATATCACTTCTACGTGTAGACTCGGGACTTAGTCTATGGGACTCCGTTAAGGGCGTTGGCCATCAGGAGGAAAACTGCATGGAGTTTAGATGCTTCGGATCTGTCGAAGCACTCCGTTAAGGGCGTTGGTCATCAGGAGGAAAAATGTATGGAGTTTGACACTTCGGATCTGTCGAAGAACTCCCGAATTCGGACTAATTTCCCTTATATCGCCTGAATTTCGACCAATCATCGTCCAGTAACTCTTTCGTGAGAACGGACGAAAGGGGGATGAATGAGGGGTAACCATTTCCCATCTGAGCGAGATTTTTAACCAGATACGGAAAAACAGAGGATGTTCTCTTCTGTGAAAGGAAGTAGCATCTGTTATCTGGTTTTTCCCACGTCTAAAACACTAGTTTTCTCACCAAAAACGAAGTATTATTTGGTGACATTATTTTACATAATTAATAAAATTATTAACTTAGACCCAGGGCCTTTCGGATCTCACAATACTGTATAAATATAAAAATCAGTCCCCCAAAATTTTCCACCAAAAAATATTGTACCATACCTCCCACTTTATTTAGTGAAAATCTACCAACATGAAAACACTGATTAATGGCAAAGGCAGTGTGCTCAGATGTTTTGATCAACAGTCCAACTTGTTTTATTGAGTCATTAACAGTTGATTCCACACTGTCAAATTCGTTTATGTGCCACTGAATTTGCTTTACTTCCAATAATCCCGAAATCTCCTTAATCTGACACTGTTCTAGTCCTAAATAGATGTCAGATTACCAAGATTGTACTATACTTAAACTTTTTAACTTTTCATTCTAACAATTGTGCTTCGACTACATTCTTCTCTAATTAACGTTTGCTTCTGTCATAACTATTGAATTTCTATTTAAATTAAAAATATAGGCCTGTTTCCTTATCTTCAATGATTGTTTTGGCCTAAAAAAAGTTATCTTTTTCCTTACATTTAATAGTATAGACACAGTAGTAATATACGATATGTAAATATAAGTTGAAATGCTCTGTAATTTGATCAAATTCAATAATTTTAAAACAAATACATTGATAGAATAACTGATTTTAAACATATAATAAATATTAAATAAAATACATGCTATCAAAACTTGATACTTAAATTTCTATATTCAAATAAATAATCATTTACAAAAACATTTATTAATAATGTACAGTACATGATAATTTTTTGAATTAAAAAAAATGTAAAAAATTTCTGTTATGTAATTGAAATTCCTATTTTAATAGTATAAACAAAATAAACATACTCAACATAATCGCCATGAGTTGCTTGAAGGACAAGGGCAGCCAAGTGGAATGATGTGTCACTATCAACTTCTATTGTTCCCTATATAAATTAATTAATTTCATTAAATAAGTTGTCTTGAAAATAGCTAAACTTTTAACTAACAGAATTAAAATTATTGACTTTAATTATTAAAAAGTTAAAAAAAAAATTATTAATATACTCACAAAATTATCAAAGTAAACAAAAATAGTATAAAAAACTGCTATGATTGAATAAAACAAATATATTATAGTTACTGCTACATTACAATATACTGTATTATATATTAAATTATATATTCTACTAAATTACTTAAATGTTATCATCATTGTAATTGCTGCATAATAATGTTAAATTTTTCTAAGTGATTATTAGTGTAGATAAATAAAACTGCTTCTAAATGAGAGCTTATTTGTTTTGTGTATATTAAAATAAGCAAATGCTGTATCTATAAACTGGATTATCTTTGGGATATCCATAAATTATGTCGGCATTTTTTTGAAATTTTTACTCACCCCCTGAAAATTACGCTTTAGTTATATGTTTATACTTATATATTAATTGAATATATTTTAAAAAATTAAAATTAAAAACAACGAGAATCTTCTTGTAAAGAAAACAAAAAATAAGCAAATATATGCATATATTTGATACCTTTCATATACTCATTGAATTCATTATCAATTATTATTTCTATTTTTATATGAGATGATTTAATTCCTCTTAAGAGTTGTTTTTGTACAAACTAAATATATATTTTAATTTCTTCTTTAGATAAACATATGATTTCCACGGTAGAATTACTCATTGAAATACTATATTCGATTACTCATCTAATAAAAATAACTGAATGGATCCATTATCAATGCATTAAAAGCATTCTATTTCAGAACCATATGTTCAAACATTTAAAAACTTTTTCTTGAAACTTTTAAGAAGAGATTTCTTAGTAGTTAGATATTACAAACTCTATCTGTAGAATATTAAGGTCTGTAGTGAACTGATAAAATGATAAATTTTCTAAAAAAAATTTTTGTTTATTACTAAATTTTTATAATGTTACGTTTTTATGTATATTATTTTTTAAAATAAGTTAAAATAATTGAATAACTTGACTTAAATTGAGTCTTTTAAATGAATTAGAATCAAGTGAGATTATTAACAACACTCCTGAAAGCAATTTGAATATGTGAATGCAAATTTTAAGACTTGATGGACATATAAAAATTACATTTGCCTTTGAAACTTTTATCTTAATTGAAATTGTAAATATATCATCATATAATAAAACCCTGAAATTCTAAAATATGTAGAAAATTTTCCTACACTTTACTGTTAAATAATTTATTAATTTATGTTCTACTATTCACTAAAATAATACATTACAGTTTACATAATCCAATAGATACATTTTAAGACAAAACAATATAAATTTCAATAATTTATATGTTTTAGATATATAGTTTGTGAGTCTTGAATTATTTATACTGTGATTGTAATACAGTAATTAAAAAATAGAATATAAATTTTAGGATATCTCAATTAAAAATACATGCATAAATCATTAATCACATGCAGTATATTAAAATATTGAAAAAAAAATATATTAATCTCTTTTATTTTATATCAATATAATGTAAACTTGGTTGTTTGAATACAGTAAATAAATTTTTAATTTATTTACTGTATTCAAATAACCAGTGTATTAAAGATAGCATATAGACATACAAACTTATTATATAATATTCTTAGCTTTGCAATGATTAAATATCCATTAAAGTTGTATTTGTATAAATTATTGTTTCATTTAAGTTTTTTAAAATTAATATAAATTTTCTAATTTTATTTTATTATAAAATAAATAAATTTTCTTACATTAAATATTAATAATTGAGCTTGTAGATAAAATGCCTCTACTGTAGCAACATCTCTTAACTGAGTAATACTCTCCACAAAATACCTGTAAATTCATATAAATTATTTTATAAATTTATGTAATTTATATTATATTAGCAAACATTTTCTGTCATAATTTAATAATTTTCTGTTCTAATAATTATTATGTGTTGCCACTTTTCAAAATTGCTGACTTGGACGTTTTAAAGTTACAATGTTATCCAAGGTATGCGCATTGTAGGAAACCATAAGAGTCATGTGCAATGTCATTTTTTTTTTTTAACTCTTTCCACCGTGTGGTCACTAAGAGAGCCTCTTTTAGGAAGCCCATTATGGGTTTGGCCAGGCCCACGATGGGGCAACCGGGCAGTGAGGGACGAAGCCCAACATATCCACCCCCAAAATATTGTGTAATGTCATTTTACAGCCAAGAACTGAACAATGTGCATGCCAATTTCAAACCAGTTAGGGACTTGTGTTGGAACAAACCTAATATTTGCAAAATACTCACAAATATTTTTATAAATCTATTTTGTTTCATCATAATTTCAGTTTCTATGAAAACTGGACAAATTAATAATTAATCTGGACCATAAATTTAAAAAAACTAGCTTGTCCGAGTAAAAGACAAGAATAGGTCAGTCATACAACAACGTAAAAAAATATCTCAACTGATAAAGTACACAGCTTTTGTAATGAAAATTATAAATATACAGAAGAAAGTTTGTTTCTTTATACATTTTCACTTGATCTGAGCAAATAGAAAATTTTAGAGACCATCCTCTCATCCAGGAAGAAGTCAATGACTATTTTTTGATTAAATTAAGTTTCAATCCCCTGCCTCCACAGGTCCCTCTTTCTATCTTACTAGTGGAATGGTGGCTTTCAAATAGGAAAATTACTTAATACAAAGTTACCAGCAAGTAGAAAATATGTTTTTAGGAGTTTTTGAAGGTACCAAGTTTAAATATTTGGTCCATTTTTCACAAAATTTGATTAATTGGCCAATTACCATTTCATATTCGGCTGCAAATGGTATGTTAAAGTTAACATTAGTAAAAAATTTAATTGAATTATCTATCTTCTGGTTCAGGCAGAACAAAATGACTATTTTCTGTTGTAAAACATTAATTCCTATCAACTTCACAAATAAAATTGCATCATTCTGTACCATCCAAGTATTGCATTCTTAACAAGAACAAAATATGTATTCAGGCTGCCAAGCACAAATCTTTGGTGCATCTGTTAATTTGGTTTTATTTTTGTTATATGAATTTAAATAAGAATGAATAAGATGATTATTCTTTTCTTAGTAGACTTTTGTCATTTTTATTGTTTTATTACATTTTCTTTTTTCTTATTATAATTTATTTAACACTTCATGATAAACATAAAGATGGTAGATGATGTAAAACTTTAACATTTTACATCTTTAGATGTTTAAAAACTTATTTCACTAACAGAAGAATTGCTAAGTTACCACTAATTTAATCATATGATCATTCTTTAGAAGTTATACAGAAATTCTATATTTCAAACAAGAAATGCATCTTAATTAAAAAATAAAGTTTAAAATTAATTTCTAAACTTTTATTTGTCAGATAAATGATGTAATTAACTACATCTATTAAATCTTGTTTATATCCAATTTGATTTAAAGACTTAAAGAAAATATTACATCATTACATTTTAGCTACTTTAATTAAATGTTGTTCCTATAGCAACCTTGTTTTAAAAACAAAAATCTCAATCTTGAACGTCATCTGTATTCATTTATTCTTTTAATTCTTAAAAATAAAATATCTGATTTGTTTTTGATATGATATGCCCGAGGATGAACGGGAACAATAAAAAAACTGAAATATAATAAACTCTATAAAACAAAATGTATTGTTTTCTTATAATGTAAACTGAAATAAGGATGTATAATGTAAACTGAAATAATATGTATAATGTATAATGTACAATAAAATGTATAATGTAAACTGAAATAAGGAAGAAAAGATTTAGAAAAATTCATTAAAATAATTATTTTTACACGAATAATTTTAATGCATTATTCATATTTTCAATTTGTAATTAATTTAATTTTTAAATTTAGAAATAGAAGTTATTTTTTTCATTTTTAGAAAAAACTGATTGTATTTTAATTCCAATTCATTTAAGTATTAATTTAAAAACCATCTGACAAAGATTATTATTATTACTTCAAGATGTATACAAATTTTTTAATGTATTAAAGTTTACAGTTTTTAAATTCACTAGAATAAAAAAATATATAAATCTAATACTGATTACAAAAACGTTAATGTAATATTAAAGATATATTTTCTATTTTATTATAATATTAACTTCTGCAAAATTAAATTATTTTGTTAAAAATTTATTCTTAAAATATTATATAAAGTACGTAATTTCAATCAAAATTTTGTGAAAATAAATTAAACACACCAAAATCTTTTAATTTACTTACTAGTTAGAAACAAAAGCATTTAAATCATATTTATAGTTTATGTTTATTTCTATTTCATCAATGTCACATTACAAGGAATCTAATATTAAAAATTATTTTTCATTTTTATTTTTAAAATATTTTAAGAATTAAATAACAACATTTTAATTAAATTTGAATATTCATTGAGTATGAGGAAAAGTATGAGTTCAACATATTTAATTTAAGCTATATAATTGTTTTTCTTTTAATACATTAATAGGCTACAAAAAAAAAATAATAATTGCAATATCACTTAAATGATATTGCAAATTTTACTTTTTATGATTTAATAAAAGGAAAAGCAATTACACAGCACATAAAATAATAATTTCTAAGTTATAAATATAATTATGAATAAAAATATTCATCAAATCATCAAAACTATGATTTTTTTACACTTACTTCACCAAAAAGTGCAGTACAAATGAATTCTGTGTTACTTTCTTTGGTAATTCATGTTCTAGTACCCTTCTATTTAATTGTAGCCAATTAAAATGACCCCTAAGAAAAATTTTTAAAATTTTCAATTAAATTCAAATTTATGTTTAAAATTGAGAGTAATTTTAAATACTTTAAATATTACTCTTTTATTTGAAATTATTTTCCTTGTCTTATATTTACTTTAAATATTTACAAAACATATAACAAAATCTAATTTGACTTCTAAAAATGTAAAAAGTTTTATTAAATAAAACATGATAAGATTATGTTTGCCTTTTTTTGCCATTTATTTAATAATCTTGTTTGTAGTTTCAGTTTGTATAATAGAATTATTCAAATTTACTTAATGTATATAACAGCAGAAAAAATGAATTTTTTTAAAATTTCTGTTAATCAAAATATAATTAATATTAATAATCTATCATTTTAAAATGCAATGTTCAAATATTTGTTGCAATATCTTATATTCAATTATTTTATGTCGATATTCCTTTCCAATAATCATGAATTTAAATACTTTATATGTTTACATTAAATACTAAATAAACAAAATAGCTAAAAATTAGGTTATCTAGTTTAAAAATCTAATAAGACAAAATAATAACCTGATAACAATTTTTCATGGTTTATATTTATAATCTGTAAACAAAATAAATTTACAATAACTGAATAAACATGCCAAGGACAAAATTCTAAATGAGAAAAAATTATTATATATTATATATATTTATGTTCTCTCGCATCATATATTTTAAAAATTATTTCTTGTAGCTATTTTGAAACAAATCCGAAGCATTACTAATGACAGTTAAGTCATAAAATCTGATACTACTATAAAAACTGTTTTATGAATAACAAGAAGCTATAATGTATATAATTTAATTAAAACACAAACGTCTTCTAACTGTAACACTGTGTTGAGTAATAACTGTCCACAAAAAACCTCTATCAGTGTTGTGTTTGTTACGAATATTCACTAACGTTTTCGACCTCCACCGAGGTTTTCTTCAGGTGACTTCACCTGAAAAATACCTCAGTGGAGGTCGAAAACGTTAGTGAATATTCGTAACAAACACAACACTGATAAAGGTTTTTTGTGGACAGTTATTAATTTAATTAAATTTATAATTTTAAAATACAGTGGGTGATTGGTTAACGAACA